TCATTCTGATAGGCTCTTTACCTTTAAGAGGCAGTGGAGAAATGGATAAACAAAACAACTAGGTCACCAGCTTCCTAGGTGCCTCTTTCTTTCTCTCAGCCAATTCAGGGGAGGAATTTTCCTTCTAATCTGTCATAAGAGCTCCAGTATATCAAAGTTCCTCCAGGCTGTGCCTGTATTGGGAGCCCAAGTAACAATGTTCAAAACTATAATGTTATTCAACAATTTTCAAGGTGTGTTATCCTTGCTTAGCTCAAAAAGGTTAAGATGATTTGATTTGCCTAAGTTCCCATAGCCAAGTGGGGAAAGTTGACAAGTGATATAAACTCAGGAAGAGAGAAGACAGCAGGTAGCAATGTGGCTTGTATTCTGGAACTAGACTATTCTGATGGGGAAGGTCTGGGGACTTTYCTGGTTATTCTCCTCTGCCCTCAGGGTGCCTGAGCTTCTTGGACTGGTGGTCAAGACCTTGCACAGTTGGGCCAATATTATTCAGTCTTATCTCCTTCCATTCTCCCCTACCCTCAAGTTTTAGCTAGGCTGGTCTACTGTTTTCTGAAGACACTCAGAATATGTGGTCTCCTATGCTTTCTTCTTTCTCTTAGTGAACTTCTAGTCATCCCTCAAGGCCTAGCTCAAATGTTACCTTGGTGAAACCTCTCCTTTCCCTCTTTTGTGTTTATTAATTTTGCCTCCTAGCTCTACTGCAAAATCTATCAAGCTGTACAGCCCACTCTCTTGTGTCTGTCTCCCTTTCTAAGTAGGTAGCTCCCCAAGGCCAGGACCCCTTCTAATTCTTCTCTGACTCCACATCACAGCATCTGGCCYAAGGTGGGCACTGTGTTTGTAACTGTGCTGCATGTGAATGAATGAATGGGAAGGGATAAGATCTTTGAGGCTGTAACACCCTGATACTACCTACCCCTTCTTCCTGGGTGTACGGACATGAAGAAATTATCTACCTATTAGAAACTCCCATTCATGTCCTATTTCTTGGATCAGAATTTCATCTCCTCGGGCTGGGGATGTGGCTCAAGCGGTAGCACGCTCGCCTGGCATGCGTGCGGCCCGGGTTCAGTCCTCAGCTCCATATACCAACAAAGATGTTGTGTCCACCGAGAACTAAAAAATAAATATTAAAAATTCTATCTCGGGGCTGGGGATGTGGCTCAAGCGGTAGTGCGCTCGCCTGGCATGC